GATTTGCTGATGAAATTTATTTCGATTGATAAAATGAAGTTATGCTAAACTTTTCTCGTAGCCTTTTGTTTTGGGTCGGCTTATAGTGCTCGTAAAAAATTTTGAAGCTATTATGTGAAAATCAATTTTTTTTTTAAAAGCTACTATGGTCATTATAATTTTTTTTTAAATATTAGACATTAACTTTCTCACGGTTGCCATATTTTAGTAGATTTTGCTATAGCAAGTTATTTCTTATCACAATAATTTTTGAAAATTAAGGGAAAAAGGTAAAAAGAAAAGCCAAATATGATTGCGATTACTATTTGAAAGAAAGCAGTTAAAAAGTTGCCCCAAATAGATCTTAGGAGTAAGGAGTCTTTGTTGTTGCACTGAGGACGTGATGATTGTTTAGTCTCCAAGTGGAAAATTATTAAATTGTGAAGTTTAATTGTTTGCCTTATAAAGAAATGCCTTATATAGAATCAATTATAGCTCGACTTTCACCATTTGTGCTATAAGAGGGTCAGAGCCTCTGAAGTATATCCATTGTTTGCAAGTTATTTATTAATGGTATTCTGGGGATTTCATTATTCTGTTGCCTACCTTATATGTATATTTATATAGCTATATTTATATGGAGAGAGAGAGGGAGAGAGAGAGAGAGAGGTTAGGTGAGATGGGGTTGGCTCCAATCCTATTTCTTAACAATATACTCCTGATCACTAGCAAATTACATGCCATATGTTACTTCGTCCTTATCTAAGCTTACATAATTTAAAACCTTGGATGGATGAGCTCTAATAATTCATGAGAGATTTATAATTCAAGTATTTCACTATATTTATGTGAAATCTATATAGCCCATCAGTGGTTAAGAATTTATTTTATTAATATTTCCAGTCTTTCTTGCGAAATTCTTGTATTAAAGCTCTTAGCAAAGAGTGTAATCATCACATGCATTTTTTTCCTTTTTTTGCCCTGGTTCTATCAAATGTTTCTGGCATGAGCTTTGCTATATGTTTTAGTAGGATCGTGTACTTTCTTATTTGGTTCCTTTAAGGTAGTGAAAGCCTGTGCAAAATGGAATTTGCATCATCATTCAAACATGATTAGAATTTAGAATATCAATTTTGCGCCAGCACTGACTGATCTAGTGGGTGGGTTCGTATGTATCAAAATGCTGTAAACTTTGAATTTTAGGATGGGCTTGAAGTTTGCATGTTCTAGGTTGATCTTTTTGTATTATGTCGAACTGAGTTCATTTAAATCCACTGGATTTTGAAAATGTTTACCAGTTATGTTAACTTAACTTTGTGGTTCGATTTCTGTTCTTGTGTGTTTTCAAATACTCGCTTTTGGCTAACATTGTGTTTGTGATGGATTTAGATCTCACTTTTTCTGAAGATTTCACATTTTTTGAGCTCTGTAATATTTAGTACTAGTGCAGAAAATCATTTTCCGATATTTAATATTTCATTTATTGGTTAGGTGGAAGCTAGACTAGAATTATGTTAGTGGATAACATTATTTGTAGAAGTTAATCTTGAAGAAGCGTATTAAATAACTAATATTTAGTTAAATGATTTATTCAATGCACTTAACTTTAAACAGACGTTAATTATTTCATCAAGAAAGGCTAATCTTAAGACATTTTTTGATTTGAATGAATTGCAACAAAGGAAATGGTAATGAAAATGATAAAAGGAATTGAATTGTATCTTTTTTTTACCTCATTAGTTCGGCGGAGAATATAATTGGTGAATTTTTTTTTCTTAGTTGGTTGATGAAAATGTTTCTTGTGATGAGTGGCATGTGAGTCAGAGCGATAATATTTTATATTATTGTTTTCAATTTAAAATGATTTTTTTCACCTTTCTTAAGTAAATCCAATTATCTATTAATTCCATGGGAATCAAAATCCATTATAAAATTATTAGGTAAAATTTGCTAGCTTTCCTTCCAATTATTCAAACCAAACATGCGCAAATCCTCTGGTTGAATATATAATTTACTTCTTGCCAGATACGGTTTCCACAGATAACATCTTGATGTTTTGATTCTATCTAGAGGTCGTGGCTTTTGACTAAAATTATCTTACATTTTACATCGAAGTATTTGATCAAATAGATTTAGCTTATGTTGATCGAATATTAATTTTGTTGGTTTATAGTTGTAGGGTGAATGAGTTCACCTCTTGGTTACTTTAATTTTTTTGTCAGCTGGCTTCATAGTAAATTTTTAATTGGATATATTTTTCTTCAGATGATATTTCTTTTCCCAATATTGCTTTTTTGTTGTTTCAATAGACTGCTTGACGCATAGTTGGCAACTACTTCTAATTCTTTTTCTGTTCAGAGCTGAAGCCATTCTTAGACATGAGATTCTGGATATTAGCAGGAACATGCAAACACATGCAATTAAAGAGTCATCCTTGAAGCATTAGTAGTAGTGTTGAAATTGTTTATAACAAAACCAAGCAGAATAGAATGCCTTCTGCTCCTCACTTCTCTGACAATGACCATGGACTTGTAACTAACCCATGCAAGAGTGCTTGTTTAAAGTGCTGCGAAGTGATTAAAGCTGGGGAATATTTTCCTATGGAAAAGTGTACTGTTAGAAACTATCGCAACTTTATGAAAAGTGGCTTGCCTCATCGGCTTCTATTTTACAAGGACAGTGATTGGATTGATTTTGCTGCGGATATAATTGGTCTGATACATGATAACTTCCAAGCGAAGAAGGCAATTTTTGAAGTTTCTTGTCAGAATCAACATTTCTTATTTGACTTTGTCCGTATGCTACATATAGATATAAAGACAGGTTTCTTCACCTTTCTTAAGTAAATCCAATTATCTATTAATTCCATGGGAATCAAAATCCATTATAAAATTATTAGGTAAAATTTGCTAGCTTTCCTTCCAATTATTCAAACCAAACATGCGCAAATCCTCTGGTTGAATATATAATTTACTTATTGCCAGATACGGTTTCCACAGATAACATCTTGATGTTTTGATTCTATCTAGTGGTCGTGGCTTTTGACTAAAATTATCTTACATTTTACATCGAAGTATTTGATCAAATAGATTTAGCTTATGTTGATCGAATATTAATTTTGTTGGTTTATAGTTGTAGGGTGAATGAGTTCACCTCTTGGTTACTTTAATTTTTTTGTCAGCTGGCTTCATAGTAAATTTTTAATTGGATATATTTTTCTTCAGATGATATTTCTTTTCCCAATATTGCTTTTTTGTTGTTTCAATAGACTGCTTGACTCATAGTTGGCAACTACTTCTAATTCTTTTTCTGTTCAGAGCTGAAGCCATTCTTAGACATGAGATTCTGGATATTAGCAGGAACATGCAAACACATGCAATTAAAGAGTCATTCTTGAAGCATTAGTAGTAGTGTTGAAATTGTTTATAACAAAACCAAGCAGAATAGAATGCCTTCTGCTCCTCACTTCTCTGACAATGACCATGGACTTGTAACTAACCCATGCAAGAGTGCTTGTTTAAAGTGCTGCGAAGTGATTAAAGCTGGGGAATATTTTCCTATGGAAAAGTGTACTGTTAGAAACTATCGCAACTTTATGAAAAGTGGCTTGCCTCATCGGCTTCTATTTTACAAGGACAGTGATTGGATTGATTTTGCTGCGGATATAATTGGTCTGATACATGATAACTTCCAAGCGAAGAAGGCAATTTTTGAAGTTTCTTGTCAGAATCAACATTTCTTATTTGACTTTGTCCGTATGCTACATATAGATATAAAGACAGGTCTCAGCAAGCCACTTGCATGGATTGATGAGCATGGAAAATGTTTTTTCCCGGAAATAAGTTCTGAATTCTGTGCACCTTGTGTACCAAAAGGTGCTCGTGAACTTAATTCCCGCTTGGATACCTTTCCTAGCGCTTCAGAAAACTCAAATTCAGGATACCCTTACCATAAGGATAAACAGACTAAGCATGCAAAGCTTATTTTACAAAATGATCCTATGAATTTGATGGGCGAAGTGGTGGGTGAAAATGATCTCTGTCTTCCTATTTCATGCAATGCAATAAGTTCTAGAATGGATCAGGAAAATGCAGCTGCAGCAGTCGATAGCCAACTTACTTTTGATTCTGTCCAGAGATTCTTTCTCTCTGGAATGTATCCTTATGTTGATTCGAAGGGAGTAGTAAGCATCTCAAGAGCTCCTATATTCGATCAATCTGGAAAATTTCTTTTTAGTAGTTTTCTCAAGCACATCGAGATAACGCAAAATTTTCGTGGTGTTGCTAACGTGCGTTATGCTTGGCTTCCAGCTACTAAGTCTACAGCAGAAGATTTAATACTTCGTGGCATTATGAGGATTGAGAAGCCTCTGCATGGCAGCAGACATGGTCTCGGGATTCATCTTGCAGCAGTGAACTATCCTAATATCTGGTGAGATTTTATGTTCATTGTCTATTGTAAGTGTTTCTTGTTCTGTTAGTTATTAGGGGAATTTACAGATCACATATAATTCTGTTGTTTTCTTTTCATATAATTCTTATGTATTTACATATGTAACACCTAAACTTTAATTTTTTACATATATAAAAATTAAATATTTAACAGCACGTCAACAATACCACTAGTACTGACTTTTGCAAATGAAATACGTTCTTACATGCATATGTTTTGATGTGATTATAAGGCAGTTATGTATGTGAGTATTGAACTTGTAGTGTTAGTTGTGTAAATACATAAACTTATGTGGCATGTATGTAAATTCCCCAAATAATTATTATTTAACTCACAGTTTTTTATTATCTTTCTTTAAGCTGCTAATGATTTGCTTTCAAGAGTTAAGGGATACTCATAGATTGCTATCCACAGTTCTTCCTATTCAGATGTTGATGAAAATGGTCTATCTTATATGATACTATGTCGCGTCATTATGGGCAACATGGAGCTTGTTAATCCTGGATCTAAACAGTTTCAGCCTACGGATGGCAGTTTTGATAGTGGTGTGGATGATCTTCAAGCTCCGAAGCATTATATTGTATGGGATATGAATGAGCATACCCACATCTGCCCTGAGTATATTGTGGTTTTCAAGCTTCCTGCTAAATCTAAAGGTACTTTCAATGATTTACTAGGAACATCTGTTTACTATGCTATGAATCTTCCAGCTAGAGTTTTTCTTCTTCATCTTTGCTGCAGAGTTATTATTTGGAAAAGAAAGTGCATCCAATGAAACTGGGGTCACATGTGGACCTTCGCCTGTGTCGAAGGTCTGTCTCTTGTCTGCTTTTATTATTTGGGATGCAATTTTATGACAGAAATGCAATAAATATACCTTTTTTTTGTGGATAATTTTACTAATTTTACTAATTTCATGCAATTCACGTAGGCTCAATGCTCAATGCGTTTGTTAATCCTAATCTTTCAAGCAATGTTTTCCCATTATTTTTTAGAAGTGTCAACGCTTATCTTTCCGGCATAGGGTTAGTAAAGAAAGATACATTAAGTTCTCGTTTTTCTTTTTTCAGGAAGGAAATGATAATTCGTTTGTAATACCAGCTAACCAATCCCAAGGCAAGGACCAAGAGTTTGGTAGAGTCCCTAAGCCAACTTCTCCTTGGATGCCTTTTTCAATGCTGTTTGCTGCAATTTCAACCAAAGTTCCTGCTAAAGATGTGGATCTTGTCAATAAATATTATGAAGAATTCAAGGTGACTTTTTGAACATTAGTTTTATCCTCTAGGGCATTTGGGCTGTATAGATGATCTTTTTTTCTTTTAACCAGAGAAGAAAAATAAACAGACTTGAACTTGTTAAGAGGTTGAGGCATATCATTGGAGATAAACTACTGATATCTACCATAGCGAGGCTTCAATACAAGGTGATTTATTATTATTATTGTCATTATTATTATTATTGTTGTTGTTGTTCGGATAATCTAAAGAGCTATCATTTCACTCTTTGCTTCACTGCTTCTGTTCCAATTTGCAATATCATGGGAGGTGTCATCGACATCATCTTTTAATTGTGTTAATTTCATTATTTAGTAATTATTGATGCCATGCTGATTCTTTGTCACACATTGGTTGAACATTCATTTGTTCTCCTTTCTTTTCTTTTGATCAACATGTGGATATAAGCAAAGGCGATAAGGTTTTGCATATTTTATTTTATGGGCTTTGAAAATTTTTAGACGGTTATTTAAGTCAAAATTTGAGTTGATTTTTTAGAAGACAAATTATAGAATATCACTAAGAGATTTAGTCTTCTAATGAAGATTTCACGATATTATTCGAGATTTCTCATTAATGTAAGTTCCCATGATTAACTACACATGTCAATTGTGAGAGAGAACTTTTTATCAAACTAATCTCTTAGTTCTATGATATTTTTCTTTGATGTCGTCAGTATGGATTATTGGAAAGAATATACTGCTATTAGTTCAAAGAAGATGTGGAATTATGATTAAATCAATAAAAAGCCTTATAGTTTAGTCATCTTAGGTTGTTATGAACCCTATATATTTAGTCAGAGGAAATAATCGACCCAATTTGATTGACAAATCTTTGTCAATAGCCATGCATTATGTTGTTAAACAAACCTTGTGGATCTGGAGTTAAAGCTTATTGAAGGGGCTAATTATAATCTGATCTTTGTTATAAAGTTTTCATGTCCTGTGCGCGTCTCATTGTTTGGAAGTCAGATTTTTCATTAGAAGTATCTAGGCTTATCAGGCTTAAGTTGTAACTATAATATAAAGATATCATCTCAATCAAGCTGAGCCATTTTTTATGCGAGATTTTTAAGCATGATTATATGAATACACTTGATATAACATTAGTTCTTTATGAGTTGGTTAAATTTAGATTTACCTTTATTGAAAAATTCGTGTGAAAGATGTATGGGTGGCTGTTTTGAGCATAAATCAGCTGATTATTGCTTGATTTATCCACATCGGGAGGAAATCCTTGATTGTTTTGATAATTAAACCCATTATTTGGGTTATGGTTCAATGTTTTTGTAACGAGTAGATTGATTTTGTCCATAACCCAATCTTCAGGTCTAATCCTATATGTTTGTCCTACATAATTAAGGCTTATTGAGTTGTAATTGGCTTTCTCGTCAGGATCTCTAGCGAAAATCTCATGAAAAGTAAAATACGTAATATCGTTCTCAATTTGCACCTCATATTATTAAGTAATATTAATCTTCAATTGGAGCACACATACGATGGCTTCCTCCTAAATGCTAACGGGCTCTCTTTGACTCACTATGATTTTGAAGGCAATGTAAGAAATTTTGAGTCTGTAATTTTGAGCTAACCAAGTTGGTAAATTGCAAGTTCCTCGTGGCTTAAATTTTAATATTTAGTGGGTATAAAGTAGGTATTAATACAAGATCCAACATAGACCTGAGTAGAAAAAATTGAATTTGGGATGATCTGATTAACTTTTGGTTTAGGTTTTGGTCTAGAATTCTAATCTTAGGTTGACCTAAAAAGACTTGCACTCAAGATACATTGTCCCACCATGTATCGTATGAAAACCTCTTACCTACTTTTCGTGTTTTTAACTCACAATTATCATGTATGAAGATTTCAAAGCACTGTGCATGATGCTTTAAAATCCTTAGATGGAAATTGGTTGTTTTCGAAGAGTTGACAACCCTTGAAAAAAATGACACATGGGAATCTGTTGATGTATATAAAAGAAAGGCAACTGTCGGTTGCAAATGAGTTTTTACAATTAAGTATAATTCTGATGACTTTAGAATGGTATAAGGCTCGATTAATTGCCAAGGGATTTATTTAAACCCGTGACATGGATTATTTAAAAACATTCACTACAGTTGCAAAACTTATCTCGACAAAAGTTTTTCTATCACTTGCAATTAATCTTGACTGGCCCCTACAACAATTAGATATAAAAATGCTTCCTCACCGAGGACTTAGATGAAGAAATGTATATGGATGCACACATCAAGGGTTTAGTGAGAAGTTTGATACAGTGGTTTATAATATGAAAAAAAATTCTTATACAGTTTGAAAGAGTCATTGAGAGATTGATTTGAGAAATTTACACTATTTAATAAAGTTATGCTGTGACAGTGAGCAACCACAAGCATTGTAGGAAATCCTGTGCAGCGTGATCGTACAAAGCATGCGAAGATTGACAAACACTTTATAAAGGAGAAGATTAATTGTGGAGTTATGTGCATCCCATTTATCTCTAGTGCTCAACAAAGCGGATATCTTCACCAAAAGACTGTTTAAGCCTAAAGTTTAGCTTCTTGTGAGCAAGTTGAACCTGATAGATATCTATGCTCTAACGTGAAGGATGGTGTTGGAATTTTAGTATCTTATATTATTGGTATTCTTTATTTTTAATATCTTTCATTTTTATGTGTAATAATTTTTGTTTCTTCTTTTATCACGAGGAGTCATGACTGATACTATCATTTTCCTAATGTGGGAGCCATTCACCTCTATTTAATTTGTAATCTTTTTCTATAAAAATATATATGTAAGGAATGAGAATTTTATAAAAGAGTCCACACATACTAGCACAATAAAATATAAAAAAAAACAAAGTAAAAATGAAAAATAAATCAAGATAAATATAATAAATGTAATCGTAATGCAACATAATAATAATAATAATAATAATAATATGAATAATGATAGTAATAATAATAAAAATAATACTAATCTATTGGAAACTATTTTAAAAATTATAGGGCAATTTATTCTTCAGTTTGGCATTTAGGAGGAAGCCACTTAAGGGCTGTTTGGTTTTTGCTGAAAAGTGATACTGTATAAAATGAATATAATGCTAGAATGATGTATTGTATTAGAAATATTTTGGAGGTTTTGTTTTAGTGCAAAATAAGGTAAAATACGAACAATGTATTATTTTTTTTTTGTGTTTTTTCCATTAGGATTTGGTAGAGGCAGTTAACATATATATATATATATATATATTCCAAAATAAATTTAATCATTTTTTAATTACATTAGAACCAAACACCAGTAATGTGAATTTGTCAACTACATTCGAGTTGCCCCCCAATTCTCTCAAGCCAACTATACCCTATGTGGGACAATTGGATCATAGCTCTTTTTGTTTCTCTTTCATGCTCTGGAGATTCACATAATTCGTTTGCCTTTCCAGCTTCCTCCAATGATGAGACAAGAGCAGGCATTGCCATGCAGCAGAAAGCTACCCGCAAATCCTTAAGCAACGAAAAGATCTGTATCATCATCTTCTTCTCCAAAAGAAAAAAAAAAAAGGAATTAAGTTTTAGGGTGGAGCAATACTTGTATTTATTTATCCTAAATTTCAATAAATCTATCCAAATGAATATACCTGACATTTATTTAATTTTTATGTGGATTTTTACCATGCCTTCTGCTTTTTTTAATTTTTTTTTACCAGTATACTAAACGACTGGGGATGTTGTGATTTTTGTTTTTTGGCTTATGGAGCTCTTTTATTACCATTAATTGCTTTGCCTCCGAATTTATTGTTGGTGTTACTGGTAGAGCAGGCCAAGGTTGGGAACAGCCAGTCCTACATATTTGAAAAACAATTCTCAGGTATCTCACTCTTCCCCGTCTAGAAGTTTTGATAACTAAAACTTGTTTTAGTAAACAAGTAAATTTAGTAAACCAATGATATTCTTATATTCTGATATTGTTTAATTGATGTTTTGTATTTAAATCTAGTGACATTCTTATATTCTTATTTGATAATGTAGAAGATTATTTCTTATATTCTTATATTCTTATATTTAAATCTAGTGACATTCTTATTTGATAATATTCTTATATTCTTAACTAATTTTGGTCTTTTAGTAAACCAATGATATTCTTATATTCTGATATTATTTAATTGATGTTTTGTATTTAAATCTAGTGATATTCTTATATTCTTATATTTAAGACAGTTCCGTTGTGGTTTTGGTCTAAGTGTTTATGCAAAGACTTGCAAGGAAAATGAAGAAGATTTGGAAGAAGTTCACTTGTGATTTGGGGGCTTATGCCTCAACTTGATAAATAAAGATGATCAATTTGATAATGTAGAATTTGGGTGGTTTTGATCTATTTCAGGACTCAATTTGCTAGAGGTGATCCGAGGTGTGATGATGTGACAGGCTAATCCATTTTTTTGGTTATAGAATAAAATGAGAAGATTGCACATTTTACTCATGCGGGAACTTCAATAATTCAGATCTATAGGAATTAGAATAGGATACCTATTTGAGGGATATGAGTAGTTAGCCTTCTAATAATTAGGATGGTGAATTGAGCACAATGACTGAAGTTTTTTTTTAAAGTTTTAAATGTGGTTTTAAAAATCAAATTGGATCGGTCAAATCATGAATCAGTTCAATCATGAAGCGGTCATTAAGTCAATTCGGTCTAAGCTAAGAACAGTTTATGCATAGAATTGGGATTGAACTAGTAAAAATTGGAATTGAACCGGTTAATCAGTCTCATCTCTGAAGAACTAATCGGTTTGAATATTTGATGAGCATAAATAATATATTTAAATTATTTGATGACCAAGGGCTGATGAGCAGGTGGAGTTTTTTGGTCTGCTAGTGGCACAATGATCTGCATTTTTGACATTGTGTGCATCTCCGAGAGTATTCTTCGACGTCTTTAAGTAAGTTCGGCCAGAAGTAACAATGTCACTGGATGCAATGAGCTAGCGTTATTGGCATCTATTTTTATTGTGACATACAAGGGACACATTTACGGTTCATACGAAGGTCCAAGGATCATTACCTGCTCACATACAATCCTCTGAAGGTACCACGAGGTTCGGAACCCCCTTTGGCAAGCTTCTCTGGAAGCCCAATCTTTTAGGGGTCTGGCGTGACCACGCATAATTCAGGAGTGGCCACGCCTAGTTAGTGGCGTGACCAATCCTAAACCGTGCGTGGCCATGCTAAGATCACCCCAAAAACCTAAATGGGTTGCGGTCAGTGTGACCACGCTCGAAGGCGGCGTGACAATGTCAATTAAACAGAGACTACGACATAATTACGCTGCAATCTGGGCTTTATCACACCGAAATCTTAGCAGTCGCCCGAGATCGTCGACCGTCGTGACTGTGTCGTGATTACCACACTTATGTTGTGCTAAGGTTCCAAGGGATCTAATAGGGGTCACTTAGGTTTTTAATTTCTTAGGAACTATTTTGAAAGTATTAAAATCTATATTTTTATTACTTATACGCATCATGTTTTCAAAGTCTATGTTGAAGTTACTTGTATAATTATCTTAAATTGTACATGAGGTCAACTTTTCAAAACCTACATCTAGTGGCACTTCTTAGAATCCTTGGATTTCAGGTTGGGGCCGATGACGAGGACCCCCTCAAAACATACGCTAGCCTTCTGACATAACTCTGCATTTACTTAGATATTATGTTAGAACACTACGTTAGTTGGTGTGTTGGGCTAAAGATTAGGAGGCTATGTAGTCTTTTTCAATGTCCTGGGTGTAGTTCTCTGCTGGTTTGGTTCCTCTAGCCAGACAACATCTGTTGTGTTTTTGGTGTTGTAGTCTTCCCATTTTTTATGTGCGTGATAGTATATCAGGTTGGTCTTCTTACAGGGAATCATGCCTAAAATACACACCGCACTTAGTAGCAATGTAATGATTTATATACTAACCCTTTCTTGTAAGCGCTGCTTAGCTTATCCCACCAGACATTGCTCATATGTGTTGCGTGCTTGTTGGCTTTCCTGCTAACACTGTTTTCATGCAGGTCGAGTCTTTTCTTACTTTCTTTGTGTACTTTTTAGTCTTTAGGAGAGTCTGTATTAGAAATAAGGTATGGACACCGGTTCTGAGATGTCGGACGAGTGGAACCACGTGACAAGGATCAAAAGTTGTTTGCTCGTGTACTGTAACTTAATTCTAAATCTCATTTATGTATAGAATGAGGACCAGACGTGTATTTTTGCGGTGTCTGACAGTCTTTTTCTGTTTCTGGGATATGTTGTCGACCTAGCGATACCGACCTTTTATTTTTTCATATTTGGCTAGTTTTACTGTCTTTTTTCATGCCTGTGCCCTTGAATTACTTTTCCGTTTTTTTAACTTTATGGATTGTCTAGGAATCTTGCAGACCTTTTAGGCTCTCTAAGGACTTAAAATTATAAACTTTTTATAAAATTCTAATAAAATTTTAAAGTTAATTAAAATTTAGGATTAAGATATTCATGATTTTAAAATTTGTCTTTTAACTTCCTACATAGCCTTCAGGCTGGTTTTAAAGCGGTGCATAACATGGACGAAGAGGACTTTGATCTTTTCTGGGTTAGGTTATATGCCTTTAGGGGTTAGCAAGTATCCCAAGAATTTGCCTGTAATGGCCCCAAAGATACATTTTAGTGAGTTTAATTTCATGTTAAAATTTTTAAGTATTAGAAAGGTTTCTCTTAGATCTTTAATTTGTTGCTTGGCCGATCAACTCTTAACTAGCGCATCATCGTCATACACTTCAATGTTTCTTCTCTTTTGATCAGCAAAATTACATCTACGAGGCATTTGTAAGTCGCCTCCGTATTCTTAAGCCCGAAGGGCATTACATTATAACAGTAGACTCCATCACAAGTATTAAAAGAGATTTTTTCTGCGTCACCAAGATGCATTTTAATCTTGTGTAACCCAGAGAACGCGTTGAGGAAGATTAGGAATGAATGATCAACCGTCGAATCAATCAATGCATTAATCATTTGTAGTGGGCATGCACTTTTCGGGCAGGTTGAGTTCAGATTGGTGAAGTTCACACACATCCTTCATTTTTCGTTAGCCTTCTGAACCATGACCGCATTGGAGACCCAGATGGGGTACTACACTTCTCAAATGTATCCTGCCTCTTTTAGCTTTCTTACCTCATCTTGGGTGGGTCTCACCAATGTCATGGTTGAGCTTCTAGTCCCTGTGTTGACATTCAATCTATGACAGACAACGTTGATCGACACACTTGGCATTTCAACATCCATCCATGCGAAGACATCCCGATTTTCTTGGAGGGACTGAATCAAACACTCCCTATGTCTTGCATCAAAAGCTTCACTTATCAAAAAATATTTACTTGCTCCCCCTCGATAGTTGGGACTTCACGGGTCTCTCATTGGTCTCGACGCCACCTTCCCTTGCTTTCTGGATGTTCAAAGGATCATGTTCTATGTTGCTTATGGCTCACAAGCAGCAGATTGGAGACTATTCAAGGTCACTCCTGACTTTGATGATTTCTCCATCTTCAGGAGACTTGACCAAAAGAAAATATGTTGAGATTTTCATACTTATTTTATACTGTTTTTAATGATATTGCACTTTAAAGAAATGTATTTTTGATGTTTTGTTGCAGGAATGATGAATTAGGGGCATTGGAGCAAAAATATACAAAAAGGAGTGAATTTGGAGCGAAAAGGACCAAAATGTGAAGATTTGAACTAGGCCGCCGACGACGCCCTCGACCCCGCCGACGACGAGTTTTTCCCGAGACTACAGGACAAAATTCTTCAGAAGCCCACCGACGGCGCCTTTGAGGCCGCCGACTGCGAGATCGACAGTTATGTCTACTCAAGCTTTGGATAATGCCAAATTTTGAAGGGATGCTTAGGCAACTCTTGGGGACGCTCATCCACAACTTTGGAAAGCTCATCCACAACTTTAAAAAAAGATTTTGGCAAAAAATTAGAGAGGTCCTGGAGGTTAGATAAGTTCCATTAGTGTATAGAGAATTTACTAGAGTGTCTAAATTATGAGAAATTCTTCGAGAGATTGTAAAAGTGGAGGGGAAGTGAGAGATTTCTTCCTCCTTGCCGCTTCGAAGAGGAACTCTGTGTGCTGTAAAGAAAGGAAGAGATTCAGAGGAACTTTGATGAGTTCGCTTGGGGGGAAATTAGAGATAAGTTTATTTATTGTTGTAGTTTGTATGACTTTGATTTTATATATAAACTCCGAGTTTTGTTGTGTTTTTCCCATTAGATTTGAGTAGTTTTCTCTATCTTTCTCCTTGTCTTGAGATTTGTGAAATGGTGATTTAAATTGGTTCAGCCACAAAAATGTTAAAGAAATTGTCATAATCTTTTGACTTCGATCTTAATTTACTTTCAATCTGACCAATTAATTTGTTAAAATATGTTGAATTTTACAACTAAAGTGAAAATTTCATCCAAGATTCAGGGAGGTCCTCTTGGAAGTTGGGTGCAAATAAATAGGGAAATATTTAAATAGGGAAATAT